CCAACTTCTGTGGTCCCACATCGGTTTGGAATTCTTCCAACCCTTGGAAACCCGTTTCTTTGAAGCAGAACCTTTTGACCAAAGCCTTCAGTTTCTTCCATGTCATTTGACTGAACCTACCACCAAAATTCACTTTGTAAACAAAGAAACAGGCAGGAGCTGACCGAGGTACGATCAGCAACTTGGGGGGGGGGGGGGGGGGGGCTGGTTTCACTTTCTCAGATGCATCTTTGACGGAAAAAACGAAAAGTGACCTCTAACCCTCAACTTTGCTGCCCGTTTTTCTTCCACCATCTGGCCTTTTTGGAAGCAGCGGTGAGGTTGACACATTTTAGACAAATCCCGGCAGCCAACCTCCTGTCCCAGCCCGATTTCCACTGGGAAACCCTCCCTTCACTTCTCAGGGGTCCCAGGTACCCGGATTGATGGAGGGCCTCTTTCTAGGCCTGTCCCAGCCAAACTCCTCATAACCCGATGCATAAATAATCACATGTTTTATAAATAGCTGTGGACAACAGACTGTAAAACAAAGAAGATATAGTTGTGCCTTTATGTCCTAGGAATATTTTCTAAAACGACTGTTTTATTTAGTGTGGGTTGAATGGGGGCGTGTGTAAACAGAACAATCCCCAAAGTTTTCCCCTAACGCCCCCTTGGGTCAGACCAGCGTTATAGTTAGCAAATTGATAAGGTTCCATGGGCAAGCTTTATTCGTTCTGACACGAGCTTATGACACTTTATAAAAAGAAGTAATCCAGAACAATCTCTAGGTAATTAACACCTAGATAAACCAACATAAATTTCTATATTGCATTTATTTGGACTACCACTCAAATATGCGTGAACCATGCTTTTTTAATTAAAAGATAAATCCATGTGACACTTAGCCTCAAACTTAATTATTCAGCATAGTATAATAAAAAATAGAGCCCATTAAATGTGTCTTGCACTGTATTTCTGTATTAACAGCAAAACAGTTCGGTCTGGGATCATTTAAATTTTCCCCCTCCTCTTTGCTGTGATTTCCCTATTCACGTAGTAAGCCCTTCGTCTCTCTCCCTCTCCCCCTCCCTCCCTTTGTCTTCCCATCTCTCTCTTTTCTCTTAACACCAACAGGTGAAGAGATTAAAACTCTATACAAGCCCCACCATGGAATGCTCAGCTGGGCGACATTTTTAATATTGCATGACACTAAGAATTTTTTTTCTTTCCCCATGGAAACATACCTCTGGTTTGGTGGAACATGCCCAGCCCTTCTGTCTTGAAATGAAGCTCACAATATTTAACACTAATTTCCTTGGGATTGTGCTTACAATACACCGAGTGAGGTTTTCATAATATACTGTTACAATACAGATGTTCAACAGAGAGGGGAAAGTGTACAAATCCCAAGCTACAAAAGACAGCAGGGTTATCATCTTTATAGAAGTTTCAGCACAAAATAGTATCTTAATGCTGAGTATCAGCAGCTCTGCAGCTTCTGGCTGCGAGGAAGAGAAATCCACCTTTGAGCCACCCCCCACCTGGGTCTGAAGGACGCGAGTGTAGAAATGCTGACCGTGTGCCAGGAGTCACACTACGTGCTTTACGTACCTTGTCACCTCTCATCCTTACAGTAAAGGTGCTGTAGCAGACAAGATTGGAACGCAGGTCTCTCAAAGCCCATTCTTTTAGCCCCTTGGCACATGTCTCCCTCAGATGGGCCTCACACTGGCTTCCCTGGTCAGAGGCAGCTGTGGTTTTGGCTTGGCCAAGACTGTGGCTTTAGAGGATAAGAGCTTAGACTCAGGGTGACCGACCAGCCAGGTTTGCCTGGCACTGTGCCAGTTCTAGCACTGAAAGTTCTATGTTCCAGAAAACTCTTCAGTCCCAGGTAAACCAGGCTGGTTGGTCACCCTACTTAAACTCCTCTGGAGAATGGTGCTCCTTCCAGGGCGGCCAAGCCCATCTGTAGGGGGGTCAACCAGAGGCATGCAAAGAACCTGGGTTCGGCTGGAGAGTCCATCCTCTCCTTCCCCGGGGGACTGGGGCACCTCAGATGCTGCAAATCTGATGGAGTCATATGGCTCACCCTACACTGACACTTACTTTGACTGGCCTCTAAGCAGGGCAAGAAAGCCAGCGACTGTTGAATGCTCTTTTTCTCCAACATTTCCATGCGTTCATAGCCATTGTCACTGCTGATAACAGTTCCTCAAATCCTGTTGTGTCTAGCTTGCCCAGATTTTTTACATACCCTATCTCATTTAATCTCAACAAGAGCCTTGTGTTGCTGACACTGTTACTTCGCACTTCACAGACAGAGAAACAGAGATTTGGAGATATGGAATGATCTTGCAGAATCACACAGCTACTGAGAGGTCGAGATAGGACTTCAGTGCTCCACCCTGTCTGACATGGCCTCTGCACGGGCTATTTCCTCTGCTGGCAGGCTCTTCCTTCACCTCTCTGTTCTTCATAGCCTCCTACGGGCATCTTCCATGTCTTGGGAAAATCCTTGTTCTTCTGGCACTTTGCATCTTCTCTTCCTGATATTTTATATGTATTTGTGTGATTGTCAGGTTCAAGCCTGTTTTCTCCTTAGTCTGTGATCTCTGGCATGGACCTTGATCTTGACACTTGACCCTTGTGCCTTTGGCCCAATACCTGGCATACAGGCACACTGCAAATATTTGTTGAGTGAATAAGTGGAAGAAAATCTCAACCCCAAACCAGTTGTTTTCCCACTGCATCCCACTCTTTCCACAGCTACGTCCCTACAACCCCAAGAAAAGCATGAAAGTTGTTGATACCCCGATTTTTCAAATGAGAAAATTGGAAAACAAGAAGTTTAAGACATTTGCCTTGGGTCATTCTGTCCAGGGGGATGGGTCTGGAGGGTGCCTGCACCTGACCTCGAGGAGCCTTTCTGAGACACAGAAATTTTTAGTCTACAGTGTTTTGTGTGCGTGTGAAATTTGCGTCAAATTTATCCATAACTTCTAATACCACAATAATGACAATAACATTTTTAGAGTACTTTATAAAATGTATGTAGAATTTTCCCTACTTTCTTGTATTTAATTCTCCTAATTTTACAAAGATCAATGAACTCAGAACAATTGTTCAGGATCATACAGCTAGTAAGTGCAGAGCCAGGGTTTAAATTTAAGCCATTATGCCTCCCAAATATTGCATTTTTTACACTGTATTGATCTGTCAATTACCTATAAGACCTTAGAACTATTTTGATGGAAATATATACTGATGCTCGTTAAAAATGCTCCTTACTTCCTTTTTTATATTTATATTTGTATAGCAGCTTTGTTGAGATACAATTGACATACCACAAAATTCACTTTTTTTAAAGTGTACCATTCAGTGTTTTTTTATACATGCACAGAGTTGTGTGGCCATCATCACCATCTAATTCTAGAACATTCTTAGCACCCCAAAAATAAACCCCATACCCATTAGCAGTCACTCCCCATTCTCTCCTGGCAACCACTAATCCCTGGCAACCACTAATCCCTAGCAACTACGAATCTACTTGCCGTCTCTATGGATTTGCCTATTCTGGACATTTCCTATAAATGGAATCATACAATATATGACCTTTGGGGACTGACTTCTTTCACTTAGCATAGCATTTTCAAGGTTCATCCATGCTAAAGCATGTATCGGGATTTCATTTGTTTTTATTGTCAAATAATATTCCATTATATGGATATACCACATTTGGTTCATCCATGTATTACACAGTTCTTTAAAACAGATTTCAAGCCAACATCTAAAAATTGAGAGACATCATACAAAAATCCAGATGTCCAGTATCTCTTGAAAAGCCAGAAGATGTGAGGCCACAGCCTCAGGACAACCATGTACAGTTACTGTGGCTCCTGCTAAAGGGGCCACGCGCTTTAGTCCTGTGGCCCCATCATTACAATGGTGTCCCCTCACCACTGAGGTTATTGCCTGCCCCTATAGGTATTTGGGTTTGACATCCATTGTGTCTATGGTTTTCCAGTAGAAGTTATGACTCCTTCATTCAACCTTCTGCACTTCAACCTTCTTTCCCTAATGAGTTCACTTCCTGACCTCCTCATTATGGTCTCGTAATTCACCTTTGTCATGGGTAGTAACAATCACAGACTGCCCACGGATTTGTTCAAGTCATCTGCTCTCACCGAAAACATCCAAAGCTTTACATCCTGAAAAAAACCTGGTGAACTAACCATTTCCTATAAAATATGGTTGGATGCCTCTGCTTGTAACATTCCAGTGGGCCCACCGTGCTCCAGAACCTCAGCATGTACGATACAAGCTGTTGTGGGAGCAAAACAAAGCAGCAGCCACAAAAAGCAAGTCAAAAAACAACTCTGCACACCAAGTACTGGGCACACATTTTAAGTACTCTCAGATTAAGGCCAGAGGTGGGCTTTCTCAGTTACCTCTGATGCCATCAACTTGATTACTCTTTGTTCTGTTCCTTTTCTTCTGGAGGAAGAATTCAGATCATCCTCTGATAATTTGGAGTAAAAGGCTTCCTTGCATTTAATGAATTTTTTTGTTAAGTTTCTACCAGTAAAGGGGAATGATAGATCCCAATGCTCTAAGTGTCTTATATAATTACTGTAATATAAGGAGCATTACTATTTCCATAGGTTTTATTTTACTGAGACAGATGTCTGAAAGCCTTTGAAGAAACGTAGTTCATACACACGTGGGCATGTGCACACATACACGCACGCACGCACACACGCACGCACACACACACGCACTCACGGTGTATACGGCATAGAGATTCATTCAGCTTGCAGGAGCACAAGGCTGCGGGGACAGTCCTTGCTGCAGAGTACGGCCTGGCTTCTAAATCCGTGGGGTTTGACCAGAGTTTAATTCTTGAAAGTCTGACAAAGCTGAGCAAATAGTTTTGACTCCTCCTAGTAAACATGAAAGTGAGGGAAGAAGGGATTTTTTCTTCCCCCAGAGGTAGAGGTTTTATTGCGTAAAACACTGGATAAAACTGGACTGCTTCAAAGACATTTTATTCTAACAGCAGAAAGAAAACAGTCATTGCTGAAAAAACAACTTTTAATACTTTCTATACCAGAATAAAGTTCTGTCAACTGATGTATTATAATAATAAATAATGACCAAGAATAAACTTTAAATACAAAGTCTTCTACTTGTTACAAGCATAGCAACAAAATCCTCTACGCTATCCATCTCAGATTTCCTCCGAGATAGATTTTTTTTTTCTTTGCGTAGGAATGTCGACAGTATTATGACCAGCATCACAGACTACAGAAGTTACAGGGGAAAACTTGACATGTTTAGATATGAGAACCTGATGGCATTGAGCAATTGACACACCATCACTGCAGCTGTCACTTGTTCGTGTTACAAGTTACAAATGTTCTGGAAAGAAGGCCTGTGGCACAGGGGGAAGGAAGGACGGTAGCATTGGACGAAATGGAATGAACACACACGCCACAAAGAGGGGATGGTCCCAATGTCACAAACAGAATTATTGCCTGTCGCATCTGACGATGCTCAGAAGACACAAAAGAATACCAAAAGAGCTCCCGAAGTGCTTATCGAAATGGAATGTAGCTCTCTTCTATTTTTTTCCTTCTTTTTTTTTTTTTCTTTTTTCTTTTTTTCTTTTTCTTTGCTAAGATACCAAAGGCGGGGCAAACACACGGGAAGCAAGCAACTGCCACACTCACCAAACACGGTAGTGCAGTTAAATTCTAAAGCTTTACTACAGTCAGAAAGTTTCCAATAACATTTCAATCCTTTCTCGAGGATCAGAGAAACAGTTGCATTAAGTTTATCAACTCGATTTAAGTAAGGCAGTGAGAACTATACTAGAAAAGCAAGAAAGCAGCTTGCTCTCTGCCAGATGGGTCCACGTGGCACGGCGACCTCATTGAAACGGAAAGCTCCATTAGATGACACCCTTCCGAGAGCATATGCAAACCCTATTCCTTATGAGCCTGAGAGTTTTTCTGGTCTCAGGGTAGCGCTAAGATTTTTATTTACGTTGATTGCAGTTTAGTATTTTTGTACACTGCTGTAGGCAGAGTTGAAGTTTTTAAGGCCCTGGGGTTTTTATTCTGTGCTCCCAGCCTGCAAGGAAATAGTGACTTTTTTTTTTTTTTTAAAAGTCTGAATGATTTTGTTTTTCTTAGAAGAAGTGAATACTTCAATACTTCTCTACCATCACAAGCAACAGCACCAATTTCGTGTCAGTCAAAGGAAGTGTGTGAAAAGGCTGAATTTTTACACTATCTCAGCAGAGTCAAGAGTAAGCCTTTAACTAGTCTTCTTGAATCGTGGTTAAAAATGAGTTAAGCGTTTCGTTATTGGCCCTGAAAATCTCCCTTGGTGTGGTGTGGAACTTGATCAATTTGGAGTATCCAATCAGTAGAAAATCTAAAATCTACAAAAATATAGAATACATTTGTTTTACAAAAACAGACATCTTAATGCAAACAGTTGTCTCCATTAGAGATAGAGAGCAGGATGTTAGATCTGGATTTTAATACAAGCTATTTTCTACAAGCCTGCTGCAGAAGAAAATCGTGCTTTACGTCTGTGACTCTTATAAAAAGAAACACACACAAAAATTCTGATGAGGACTAGGGCAGTCTTCATTGGGGTAAAAATTTCTAAATCATAATAAAAAACAATCTTTGTATTAGTACGTAAATTTCAACTTCTCATCAGCACCTTCTGTGGATAGGGTTGGCTAGTATTTCTAGACACCATTTTATATAATGTAACCCTCTATGTTTTCAGTGGCAATCTTTCTTCATCCAAAAAAAAAAAAAAAAAGACAACCAAGAAAAAAGCCTTTTCCTCAATACTGCAATTGGATCTAAAAAAAGGAATTACTCATCAAACCTGCAGTGGACACTTGTCTGCAGACACTTCCTGACCATCAATTCATTCGGTGGTGGATTTTTTAAAAATGAAAATTTAATATTCCCATCCTCTGCAGTGCCGGCCAGCCCCGGCGCTGGCTGCGGGCCGTCTAAGATTTCTGCCAGAGTGCAGTTGCGACACCACGGGGATTGATTTTCTCTGCAGTGTCCGCTCCAGCCTGACTGGCACCGGGGCTTCCGCCCAAGACATCTCATTACGGTGCTAGGCAAATGATAGCAGCTGGTGTCAGATTCGAAAGGTGTTTTCAACAATGAAAACACAGCCCCTCCATCTTCAAGGCAACACTAAATCATGGAGATGGTATCGTTTTTCGGTTCAGAGCATTATTTTTGGACAAAGATGACTTTAGAGTTGGAAGAGCCCCCAGCCTCGGGCAGCCCGGAGGACACCAAGTGTTTTTGAAATCACTTTTCTCCCACCTGCGTTATTTGGAAGGCCTTGTTGCCGGGTAACAGTTTAGCAGCCATTTTCAAGGGCTGGGTTTTTTTTTTTTTTTAATATATATATAGATATATTTAAAATCTTTTTATGTTCTATACACTTGTGGGTGGGGAGGGAGGGTTGTACATGATTTTTTTTTTTTTTTTGCTTGGAATGCAGTTAGCAAAACTCTTTTTTTTTTTTTTTTTTTTTTACCAATTGCATAACCTTAACACGGTGTAAAATAATATTGCAATATACGGATTGGTTCGCTCAGTTGCGCTCCTCCTGGGCCTTGCTACCCTCCTCCGTTAGCTCAGCGGAGCTCCCGGCCTTGCCAGCTGGGGGTTCCTCGAAACTCCCAGCAGCCTCTGTGTCGACTCTGGAGCGCTTGAACCTGCGGTCGGGATACTGGCTGTTGTCAAAAGGCATGCGATGAACGCAGAGGACGTGGGTCTTCAGGTTCCCCTTCTGAGAGGCACTGTAGGGACAGTATCGGCACTGGAAGGGCCTGTGACCTGCAGACAGAAACAGTGGTCAGTCAGCCCTGCTGTTCACTGCCCCCCCATGCCCAAAGGAGCATGAGCATTATTACCAATATAACTATTACTATTATATTATATTGCGTGACTATCATTGTCATTAATATTTGTGAAAATAACAATAAAAATAAAAAATAACAACAAAAATAACAGTATTATTATTTGTGAAAACCAAAATTTAAAGGATATTTCTATCCAATATATTTGGCACTTAAAGAGGGATTTAAAAGGTCTTTCCATTCTAGACAGATTTTTAAATTCAGACTTTCTGGGTTATAGAAGAGAAAGAGTCCAATACCTGGACCCTCTACACCAGGGTTCGGCAAATGTTTGCTCTAAAGGGTCAGAGAGTAAATATTTCACGCTTGGCAGGCCGAGAGGCAAAACTGAGGGCGTTGTGTAGGTAATTGTATAACAAGAGAGAAAATACAATTTCCAGAAGCTTTTTATTGGTGAAATTTGAAATTTTATTGATGGATGCTTAAATCTGAATTTCATATAATTTTCTGTGTCATGAAATATTCTTATTGTGCTTGTTTTTTTGTTGTTATTCACCGCTTAAAATTGTAAATGCCATTCTTAGGGCTCAGGCTGTACACAAATAGCCTGTATGTGGATTTGGCCTGCAGACTATCTTTGCTGAGCCCCGCTCTACATGAAAACCATAAATCCCTCCAACTGAACGTCTGACTCGGGTCTCAACATAAAGCTGGGCCACGTTCTTATCCTCCCACTAACTCATTACTGATAAACAAACCAAGCACGACAAGGGAGTCTGTGCTTGGGGTGGTGCTGAAAGATAGTGGCCGTTGCCCAAGCCTTGCTCTTGGACGGAGTTGAACGTGCTGAGCTGGAGTGATTTATGGAATCTCAGGGTTTCAGATGGAGGCAGCAGAAGGTATCAGGGCAGGGACCAGGATGATCAGATAATCAAGGCCAGCAGGAGTTTTAACAAGTTAGATTCTGAATAGTAACCCCGAAAATAAACTTCTCTAGAAAGGCTCTAGTTTGGAAGAAAAGATGGATTCTTGGGGAAATCCATCTAACCCTCCAAGCTGGATTTCTCTCTTTTAATTCACAGCAGCCAGGCGCACATTTCTGCCGTCTTGAGGAGCTCGTGAAGCCTCTAGTTTAGACATTATACAGAGCAATCATCCCCCGCCCTCATGCTGGGAAGCTGTTGATGGCCATTCCCGGGAGCTCATGAGTGCAGTCCCACCCAGCACCAGGAGAGGTCAATGCCCACAGCTGGGTCTCATTTGCTCGGAAAAATAAACAAGTAAATAAATGAGTCCAACCATTTACTCCAGAATACATCCAAACAGCATATTCCACGCTTTTTCTGGAGCAGTAATAGCAGAAGGTCTGTGCAATCTACTTGGCAAAACCATCTTTTCCCTAAGAATCTGGAGGCCAACCAAATGTTTGGAAGCTGAAGCCCACTTTCCCACCAAATTGCACAGAATGCTAGATTTCTGCTTCTTTCTTACTGGGTTGCAAGAGTCAATTTGCCTCTTCTTCCCTCACAGCCAATTGGTCTCCAGAACCAATCCATTCTGCCTATTGAATCTTTCTTTCTTGGTTCTCGCCTTCAGAGCCCAGGGCACTCTGGACCAGCTCTTGCCTACACTGTGAGCATGGCAGCCTGCAGAAGGCCTCCAGGTTCCGCAATACCAGTTCATCCTCCCCAGAGACACCTGAGAGAACTCCTAAAGCAGCGGCTCAGCCTGTGATTCCCTTGCCCCAAATCGCTGATGGCCACCTATCCCCTAAGGGATAACCAGGACCTTCATGGCTCAGTACCATCATCACCTCTTTTATCACCCTTTGCCCACACCAAACCAAACCATCAGATAGTTCCTAGAAATAGGTTCCATTCTGCAGCATCTCCAGGCCCTTACTTGTTCTACTCTCTACCTGAAATGCCACATTCATTCTTTACAGGCCCACAGCCTACTCTTCATTCAAGACTCTGCTCCGTGGGATGCCTGTTTTATGGATCATTGTGTATGCCTTGGTCCCCTGGGAGATGTAAGTTCTGGGCCATCTCAGTATCATTGGTGCCAAGCCCAGTACCTGGCATAGAGCAAGCAGGAATGAACAGTTTGTGGGACTGAAATATTATCTTACTGTTTCACCTTGCCTTTTTTTTTTTTTTTTTTTTTGGAAGAAATTATAAATCTTTGGGTAGAGTTTCTGCTTCTTTTGTTTCTACTGTTGGATCTAACACAAGGCTGAAGTTGATCAACTTTCCTAGTTGCAAAAGTCCATTTACAAACCTGCAGACTTTGTAGTTAAGAACAAAATGAAACCCAAGAAAAGTGTGTTTGCCATTGGCCTTTCCAGAAAGCCTAACTACAGCAAGAAGAGCACAGATATCAGCAGGAGGGGACTGCACCATGATTGTCACTTAAGAGAAGCACTCACCAGTGTGATTTCCCTCCTGCCTTCTTGCAACCCAGAACCACCTTTAGGGCTTGGTCACCTCTCCCATGGATGATGAGGAAGGGCCTGCGTCAGATGGGGGGGGAGAACTGAGATTCATGGTTCTAAGGTGGATTTAATTATCGTACAAAGAATGTAAATGGTCTCTGCTCTTCATCACCTTGGATTTAGGATATAGTCTCAAAGGAAGACTTAGGATGCCAATTAAGGCACAGGACCAGTTGAAGATCTTCCTGAAGAAACTGGGGAGAAGAACTGAGACACTAGGAACCTAAGAAAAGTTTCTAAAGTTTCTTCCAAAGCTTCCCAGATATGGACTGTGTTTTCTGTGTCCTACCAAGGACAGCTCTGGCAGTTCACAGGGGCCACCACAGGCCCTTGATGTGGGACGACCACTATCCTGATTATCATGGCTCAGATAAATCTGGGGCTAACTCACCAATGTATTTATTATATGGCAAAAACTACATTGATTAGGAATATCACTGTCAAATGACAAGTATTTATAAGTAAAAATAAAAATAAATAAAAATAAAATTCTTGGTAACATGATCCAAATTAGCTAGGAGAACTAAGAAGCAAAATGCCCAAACCCTGGTATTGTACCACAAGTCTCCAAGATTCATATTGCTTCTTTCATGTTTCCACTGTTTTTGTTCATCTACCAAAGCTGTTTATTATAATTTATACTATCATTGTTGAATATTAAGTTTCTGTGTGACTTCTGAAACATGTGGAACCTCCCCTCTCTGCAAATGTATCACCACAGGAGCCATGCAGCATGCAACTTAGAGAACCTCAGATATCTTCCCCAGCCCCCACAACGAAAGCCTTTTCTGAATTGGCCAATTTGGCATAAATGCTCTTAGTACATTTTTCCCACTAATTATTTTACAAGATTAATCATGGTTTTATCCTGTTCACGTTCTGAATCTTTATTTCTCGGTAGAATCAAATATGTACAATGTTCCAGCAGATTTGGATACTTCAGTGGTGAAAACATTCATATTGCATTGGTCTTCATCTTAGCTTAGGTGAGATGGAAGTCTATACGTAAATATATATAAATCTATGCATGCGTACATTTATAGAAGGAAGTCTATAAAATATCAGAATAATAATAAACTCTGATCTTGCAATATAGCTCGTAACTGGAGTTTTTATAGAGAATAATGGTAGTACCAAAAGCCCGCCACAGGCCTACATTCCACGGTTCTTTACATACACTTTTGCACGTCGATCTTCATGTTTGAGCTTTATGACAGCTTTGCCAAGACATGGTATCAGCCCCATTGTCCAGATGTGGGAGTTAAGATACAGCAAAACTGGAAAGTTGACTTTAAAACAAACTTCCAAAGGATATAAGGTACCCAGACTCCCTAAGTCTCCAAAATCCTTATAAGGAGCATGATTACAATACACATAGATGATGCATTACTTTAGACACAATTACAATGAATGTTTATAGGGTCCCTCTCTATCTCTTTCTGTCCCTGTTTCTCTCTTCCTTTGGGCTGTTTGTTGAAAAGTTCTCGTGAGATCTAGGAAAATGTTCCGAAGAAATGAGAGGATCACCCTGAGGGAAGGTCATTGTGAAGAGTTATGATGGGTCTAGAAGGCATTGATATTCTCTCAAGAATCAAACGTAAGTGAAGTGTTGGTCCTTTGATGATGGGAACACATACTCCCAAACAGAAAGCTGTTGCAATGAAAGCACTTTTGGAAACGTGGTACATTTGTGAGTACAGCTAAATCTGGATGAGAAGTTTTAAACTTCTGTATTCCATTTGTCCATATGAAGTCCCTGACAATGATGTTGAGGTCTGTTGGCTTTTGGTCAGAGAGCACAGGCAAAGGGCTTCAGAACAAACCCCAATGCTGAGAGCTCCACTAAGTACTTTACTTCGGTGTTTAAAGGTTTGACAGAAAAAGGGACCTGCCTGAAAGGAGAGGCAGCAAGAGAGGTCCATGGAGATCTGCTGGGAGCTTTCTGACTTTCTGCTGGGCTAGGAATGTGGCCTGGAGAACATCAGATCTCCAGATGGAGGTAGGTCAACCCATCCCCAGAGAAGAAGTTGCTGCAGCCCTACAGGGTGAAAGGAAAGCCCCTCAGTGTCCTGCAAAGATCCAGCCACCCCATTTTAATGAGATAAAATGCCAGTCATGCTGGCCACACCACCTTGGTGATGGAGTTGGCCATTCACCAGAGTCTATAGGTGGCAACATACATGCTAATGTTCATCAATTTTCACAAAGCAAATGGAGTTTTAACACAAGGGTCCAAGAGCCTTTCATGGTAGTTGAATTTAAGAAGTAAAGACACCCACCCTGTCAGCTCCCCATTAGAAAAGAGCTTCAGGTAACAGCCTCTCCCAAGTTTAACCCCACGGAGAAGCACCACAATCCAGGGCTGGCCTTTGGCCAAAAGTGAAGGCTGAGGTTTCTCATGATTTAGCACCTTTACTTTTCTTTCAGGTCTCCTTCTTGCCTGCAGTAGGTAGTGTCAGATCTGGCAAAGAATTTGGGTTTAG